GTAGCTGGGACTACAGGCATGCGCCACCATGCCCAGCTAATTTTTTCTATATATTTTTAGTTGACCAATTAGTTTTTTTAGTAGAGACGGGGGTCTTGCTTTTGCACAGGCTGGTCTTGAAATCCTGAGCTCAAACGGGCTTCCCACCTCGGCCTCCCAGAGTGCTAGAATTACAGGCGTGAGCCACTGTCACTGTCAAATACACTGTCACTGCCCAACTCAGATTGGCAGATAGGGAGATGGGGGAGTTATTTCTTGTTCATGTGTGTTATACTTAGTTGTAGTTACTGGGATCTCCTATTTTAATTGGGTCTGGGTAGAGGATTCGTTATTTCACTTACCACTACGATGGGCCCTTAGCCTTGCCTCTCATTTTCTTGTTCACCTTATTGGATAAATGCTCTCAGGGCAAACATCAGCCTCAGTGTTCTAGGCACCTCTCAGGGTTCTTGTTTACACAGTTGCTGGCTTAAGAATTTGGTGCTAGTTTACAGATGTTTTTAAGAAGGTTTGTTTGTTCATTTTCTTATTTTATATCTAGTATTTTTAGTTGCTTTCAAAGGGATAGAGTTGTCTAGGTATCTTGGCCAGTATCTTTCAGGAATTGAGAAATCCCATATTCTTGGTTCAGTGAGTTACTAAAGCAGTAAACTGTGTAAAATAAACCCTGAGGTTCCTTGAAGCCTTTAGAGGAAAAATCAATGTACCAATGTGAAAATAATTAATGCCAATATTTTAGATATTGATTTTGGTGCTCTTTATCGGAAAAGTAGGCATGTAGACTAAAATTACATTGGTAGCAAAACTTTCTTTTCAAGACTGCCTACAGTGCGTTAGATCTATTTAACACTAAACATAGCACAGCTCTTCATTAATAAGCGCACCTATTTTTCTAATAATCATACTTTTATTATCATGATATGATGAAATAGGCCTTTGATTTAAATAATAGGCATTGGTTTAATCCAGTTATCCCCTCCAAAGTGTTAATTAAGCACAGAATACCACTGATCTTATGACTTTGATGGTGTCCCTTGGGGAATCCAAGGTCTAGGGTCACTTATTTCACGTGGTAGCAAGTTGAATTGGCCTGACAATCTCACTGAGTTTATAGAGCGCTGGGATGACACACGGCCCCTTTCAACCTACGTGCTAAAATAATTGTGATTTTCTAGTACTAGGAATTGGTTCTCTTAGGAATTGACTGACAAGTGTGACATGTGAAGATATTTGAGAGGGCCTCTCTGTAAGTAGCACATTTCCCCCTTACAGTCAGGGGAGAGGTTTTAGAACTTCATGAGAAATAAGACAAAGAACAGGGCATTTGGGAGAAAGTATCATATTTGTATATAATGAGAACTAGGGTGGAGGACGCAGCTTGTGTCTGTGGGCACAAATAGGTTTCCATATATTGGACCCCCACATTAAGGACACTTAGCATTCCCTAGGTATAGCAGCACTCTCCAAGTGGGGTACCTGTCCAGGTAAGACTTATAACTGGGGAATATGAGAATACAATTCTGTGGGTGGGCCTGTCCCCAAGGGAGAAGGAAGAAGAGCTGAGCATTTAGGCATGTCCAGTTCATTGTTTCCAAATTTGACAAATGGATGACACATTTTATTTTCCACAAGCAGAATGAATGAAGGAACAGAGAAGATGAAAGTGTTATATTAATTTATTCTGGCCACATGGAAGGAAACACAGGAATGGGAAGATGAGAAGGAAGAGTTCTTTCTGATGCTCAGTCTGAGAAATGTGTTGAAGTTTGAGAAATTGAAGTGTGTTTAAAATTTCTAGCAATCTTATAGTTCATGCATTATGCTATTAATAGGAAGAAAAGCTAACATTTATTGAGAATTTACTACTTTTCATGATCAAGATTGTGTTCATATATGCTGTCTTATTTAATTCTCGGATTGCCTTGAGTTTTATTATCTCCATTTTATAGATAATGAAGCTGAAGCACAGAGATGAAAATGCCCAAGGATACATAGCTAGTACAGTGCAAAACCGTGGCTTGAAATTAGATATAGCTCAATATTTTCTCATTTTAAAAATCTTCTTACATGAAAAATATATAAATTTGGATTGAGAAAGTAATATACATATACTATAACAATGCAAACAATGCAAAAATGTCTAAAGTAGAATTAGTGGATTCCCCCTCCTCACAACCCGTACCTATGATAATCATCATTAACAGAGTGTTGTATATCTTTTTTGCCCTTCCTTTACTTATACATTTACATATGTATATATGTATACTGATGAGTAAATGTAGAATATTATACATATAATTCTTTAGTATATTTTTTAATATTTTAAATTAAGGTATAATTGATGTAATATAAAATGCTCAGATATATAATATATGTGTATTGTAAATAGTTTTTCCTGGTCTGAGACACTATGAGGCTTAATGGTATCATTATGAGCAGAAATTTAAAATTTTGATGTTTAATCATTTTTTTATGCTTAATATCTTTTTGTCTTGCCTGAGAAAGCTTGGCCTACCTCTAGGTAGTCAAGATACTCTATGATGTCTTCTAGAAGCTTTATGGTTCTAACTTTTACATCTAAGTTTGTGATTCATCTCAAATTAATTTGTGAGTATAGAGTTTGCTGAGATGTGTTTTATGGCCCAGAACATGGTCTACTTTGGTAAGGTTTCATGTGATTTTAAAAACAATGTGTCTTCTACTTTTGTTGAGTGGAATGTTCTGTAAATGTCAAAGTTGGTTGATAGAGCTATGCAAGTCTTCTCTGTCTTTACTGACTTTTTATCTCCTTTATTGGCTGGTTATTATACATCTTTTTAAACTAGTGTATGCCTCTAATTTATTACATTGACCTTCAAATAACGTTCTACAGATTCATATATAATATACATGAACCTTATGTAATATTGAAACTGTATGGCGGAACCTTATCATTAGTATTATTTTTTAGAGACAGGATCTCGCTCTGTCACCCAGGCTGTAGTGCAGTGGCCTGATACAGCTCACTGCAGCCGTGAATGCCTGGGCTAAAGCAATCTAACCGGCTCAGCCTCCTGAATAGCTGGGACTATAGGCATGTGCTACCACTCCCAGCTAATTTTTTTTTTGATATTTTGTAAGCCTAAGGTCTGGCTTTGTTGCTATGCTGGTCTCGAACCAGCTTCAAGAGATCCTCCCCAAGTGCTGGGATTATAGGTGTGAGCCACCCTACCTCGCCCAGAACCTTATTTATATAATGATATACAAGCTCATAAGAACTATTAATATATATAAGAACCTTGTAGTAGAATAATGTAGTACTTCCAGCCATTCTACTTTTGTCATACATTTTACATGTTGTAAGCCTCATAATACATTGTTAGTTTTGCTTTAAACAGCTATGTTATAAAGAGCTTCAAAAAGGAAGGAAAACAGTCTACTGTACTTACATATTAACCATTTTTCTTCTTTTTTTTTTTATATATCTAGTTTTCCTGTCAATATCATTCTCCTTCTGCCTGAAGGATTTCCTTTAATATTTTTGTCGTGCAGTTCTGCTTGTCATGAATTTGCTCAGCTTTCCCACATCAGAAGAGTTCATTTTGCCTTTGTTTTCGAAAGATATCATTGTTGGGATTTGTAGGTTGACTGTTATCTTTTTTTTCTTTCGATACTTTCAAGATACTGCTCTGCTATCTTCTGATTTGTATTGTTTCTGATGAGAATTTCCTGCCATCCTTATCTTTGTTCCTCTCCATGGAATGTGTCTTTTTACTCTAACTGCTTTTAAGGTGTTTTGTACATTACTGTTTCTTAGCAGCCTGATTATGATGTACCTTGGTGTGATATATGTCTTTGTTTCTTCTTCTTAGGGCTCATTGAAGTTTCTTAGGAGTAGAGTTATTAGTTTTCACAAATCTTCAAAAATTTCAGCCAGTATTTCAAGTATTTTTTCTGCCCTCCATTTTAGAATTCTAACTACACGTATATTAGATCTTTTGAAGCTGTTTCACAATCCACTGATGCTCGCTGTCCCCAGCCCTCCTGTTTTTAGTCTTATTTCTTTCTATGTTTATTTTGGATAGTTTTTTACTGCTAATTGCCGTGTCTCCAAGTTTAATCATTTAGTCTACAGTGTCAAACCCATTCATCCTATCCACTGTATTTTTCCTATAAGACATTGCATAACTTGTCTCTAGACTTTTGATTTGGGCCATTTTCATGCCTTCCGTTTTTTTCCTTATGGTTTCCTCTTGAGTATATGGACCATATTTATAATGGCCATTTAATATCTCTCTACTGATTCTATCATCCTTTCTGTTAGTTTTTTTTTTCTGATGAGTCATATTTGCATGCTTCTTTGCCTCCTTGGTAATATTTAATTTATATGTCAAACACACTGAATTTTATATTGTTGCATGCTGATTTTTTTTTTTTTTGTATTCTGGTACTTTTGGGCTTTTTCTTGGACTCATTTATATTACCTGAAAACAGTTTGTTTCTTTTGAAGCTAACTTTTAAGTACTGTTAGGGCCATCCAGAATAGTTTTTAGTCTAGGGTTAATTTGGTCACACCACTGCGGCAGTATCATTTTAAGGCGCTCCTTGATGTCCTACATGTAGGTGATTTTTCTACTCTGGCTGATTGGTAGACAAATTATTCCTAGGCATGAGTGATCTGAGGATTATTCTTCCTGTTCCTTATGATTTTTAAAATCATTTTGCAATTTTTCTGTTATATTGTTTATTTTACAGACTATTTCAGCATTTTTATTAAAATATGTATAGAATTATGTTATGCTAGCTTGCTAGTAAATAATGAAATGATTATTTGTGGTAGTTTTATAATAATCTGAAAGAGTTGCCATACCTTTTAGGATGCCTGAACGCATCCAGGGGCAGATGATATAGTCCTGATATCATATTAATAACATTATTTGCAGAGGTTATGAAAAAATGACATGTATGCATTTCTCATTTCACTAATATTCTTTTAATCTCCCTGTTCTGTCTCTCTCTAGGAAGAACGTGTTGTGAATCACATGGCAGCAAAGATTATTGAAAATGTCTGTACTACCTTTTCTGCTCAAGCCCAGGGCTTTATTACAGGAGAAATTGGACCCGTTTTGTGGTACCTATTCAGACATTCTACTGTTGATTCTCTTAGGATAACAGCAATATCGGTAAGACAGAGCATATTTTGGGGATATATCGGGGTATATTTAAACACCAAGTGTGAAGAAATGTACCCGCATAAATTTAATTGAATAGCTAGGAAACTGAAATCTCAGAGTAATAATAGTTGGTGAAAGCAATGACTTGATTTTCTCCTAAAGCAGAATTTTAAAAACTGGGTCTGGAAAACCTTGGGACTGTCAGGGAATTCCAACAGGACCTTGTTAGGACATTATGGTTTCAAAAACTATCTGGAGATGGTAGTGGAAAACTGGCAGTAGATAGGGTACAGGATTTGGTTTGTTATATTTTTAATGTTCCCTGACTTTTCCTGTTAGTGCCCTCATTCAGATTTTGTGTTAAATGGATATCTCATATGGTTCAGATGAATTTATTTTAACGTTCAGGCATCTGTGGTTTTGTAGTTTTTGTGTTTTGATTGGTTGTTTATTACTTTGCTCACATGGTTATAATGACTTGGTATTCAGAATAATTATGATGCTATGTTAATACGCTTGTATCAATTTAATATTCTGTTGAACAAATATAACCCTCTCTCATATGATTTATTTAAATACCTCTTTGAATTACCAATCTCATATGATTTATTTAAATACCTCTTTGAATTACCAATTGGTAATCTTTGAATTACCAATCTGGGCTCTCCACATTATATGGCACCCTCGCCGTACCTCTGCTCAGCTCACTCTTGTACTTCTCTCTGGGGCAGTTTCACACCTTACGTTCTTTCCTTAAACCTCCAGTCCCACACTTTCACCCTGCATCCTCACTAAATGAATTGCCCCCTGCTGCCCAGGGAAAAATAAAGACATGCAATGGGGACTTCCTTCTGCCTTGTAAGTATACCTGTTAACATGCACACCTATCTTCTCTCAGTTCTTTCCCTCCTAGTACAATGGATAAGTTGTCCTTCCTTTTGTCAGAGATAAACCTCTTTGTGTTTCTCCAAATTTTCTTCCTGGTCCCTTCTTGGGAACCTTACTTGCGATTAAAAATGGCTATTTTTGCCCTTTCCTATGTTTCAAATCTCCCCTTCTCTACTAGATCCTTCTAGTCAGCATTCAGGTGTTCTTTAATTTGCTCCATTAAAAACAGAACAAAACAACACAGGACACACACAAACATGTCAACAGTCCCCAGGCTGCATAGCCCCCCTTCACAGCCATGCCTCTTTAAAGAATTGTCTCTACACACCGTTGCTCCTTTCTGCCCCCCACCCCCTCGTTTCCTCCTCGGTCCAATCTGGTACCTGTCCTAAAAATGCCACCGAAGTTGATCTTGATAAGGTTACTAATGACTTTCATGTTGCTAAATCCTGTGGATATTTATGATATTTTTCAGTTCTGTTACTTATATAATCTTAAAAATCAAGGAATTAAAAATCCTGCTTCCTGAATATGATAAAGGACATATGACATTTATCTCATGCACACACACATACACACACACACATCTGTTTCAGGGGCCACATGTTTTCAACATTTAAAAAAAATCACACAGCTAATTATGGTATTAACAATTATAGAAATTATCAGAAAAAGTATCAGAGTTACAAAGGATACCAGTGAACTTTCTCGAGGCATCTTTGAATCATATTTTAAGGCATCCATTTTAATCCTGGGCCTTTAAAAAAAAACCTGTCTTGCTTTAATTGGATTTATGCTATCATTTTCATCTTTGTACTTGGCTTCTTTTCTTGCTTAAGTTTTTCCAATTGTTCTTACCAAAGTCTCATACCTAGTCCTTCTTTTCTTCATCTGACTCATCACGCTTGGCTCTTTCACCTTGGGCTTTTCTTATACTTTGTTCTTAGCATTCATCTGAATCATTAATTTTTAACTGAAATTTTGCCAATTGCCTCAATAATGTTTTCTTTTCCTTTCCTGCTCCAGGATCCTATTCAGGAGCATGTGTTGTATTTTGTTTTTATAGCTCTTTAGTCTCCTTCAGTCTGACACAATCCTTTAGTCTTTGTTTATTTCATGTCATTACAGTTTTAAAGAGTACAGAGCTTTTATTTTGTAGGGTGAGCCTCGACTTGGGTCTGTCTGGTGTTTCCTCATTAAATCTCTACAGTATTCATTGATGACTCGTAACTGTACCAGATACCTTGATTGTGGTTGCCATGTGATTGTCATTTGTATTATTCCTTTTACATTAGGGACAAATATTTTCTATAAAAGACAAGACAATAAAAATTTGAGGCTTTGTAGCCCACATACAGTCTCTGTATTCTTTTTGTTTGTTTTGCTTTTAATAACCCTTTAAAAATGTAAACGCCATTCTGTTTGTATTGATCATGAGCTATACTAAATGAGGCCGTGTGCCTTAATTGGAATTCTATTTTGAGGACGCACTGTCTCTTCTCCTGCATTTATGTATGTATGTATTTATATCATTATGGACTCACAGATATGTATTTTATTCTGTGAGTTGTAGTGTGATCTATTTATTGTTTTAAGTGCTCAAATCATCCCAGATTTGGCCAGGGGGATCCCTTGAAGCTGGCTTCTGTGTCCTTTTTACCTATTTCTGTCACTGTTGGAGCACTTCCTTACCTTCGCACACCATAGTGTTGTGCGCTCATTTTCTACATTTCCTGCACCAGCCCAGAATCAGTCATTTCTCCAAGAAATCCTTAGTATTGGGAGATGAAGATTTGCTTGCTCTTTGTGTTCATTGCTGGGGGTGAGGGTGGTGGGCATTGTTTCTAGGCCTTCTCAATGTTCAAAGCTAAATAAAATATATATACCCATAATACACATTCATATTTTTTAAATATGTGTCATTGTACATATTTGGGAAAAAACCCTCATGAATTTATATTGATACTTCTATTATAATTTTAATACCTCAGGATTCTTTTTAGTCTTCCGTCTTTCCATGTTTGTAAATCCCTTCTCCGAGAGAACCCGGGTTCCCATTATTCTCAATGTATGTGCCGATTTGCTCAGTCAACTTATTTCCATATCGTAACAAACTCCCGTCTACTCTGGCTGCCTCTTCTCGAGTTCCCCTCCGTCTCCCTTGCTGCTGCCACTGTGCTTCCTGGGCCCCTCCTTGGCTCAGTGCTCTCTTTTCCCTCATTGTCCCCCTTCTTCAGACAGACATATTGACATTCACAAATCTTCAAAAATTTCAGCCAGTATTTCAAGTATTTTTTCTGCCCTCCATTTTAGAATTCTAACTACACGTATATTAGATCTTTTGAAGCTGTTTCACAATCCACTGATGCTCGCTGTCCCCAGCCCTCCTGTTTTTAGTCTTATTTCTTTCTATGTTTATTTTGGATAGTTTTTTTACTGCTAATTGCCGTGTCTTCAAGTTTAATCATTTAGTCTACAGTGTCAAACCCGTTCATCCTATCCACTGTATTTTTCCTATAAGACATTGCATAACTTGTCTCTAGACTTTTGATTTGGGCCATTTTCATGCCTTCTGTTTTTTTCCTTATGGTTTCCTCTTGAGTATATGGACCATATTTATAATGGCCATTTAATATCTCTCTACTGATTCTATCATCCTTTCTGTTAGTTTTTTTTTCTGATGAGTCATATTTGCATGCTTCTTGGTAATATTTAATTTAGATGTCAAACACACTGAATTTTATATTGTTGCATGCTGATTTTTTTTTTTTTTGTATTCTGGTACTTTTGGGCTTTTTCTTGGACTCATTTATATTACCTGAAAACAGTTTGTTTCTTTTGAAGCTAACTTTTAAGTACTGTTAGGGCCATCCAGAATAGTTTTTAGTCTAGGGTTAATTTGGTCACACCACTGCGGCAGTATCATTTTAAGGCGCTCCTTGATGTCCTACATGTAGGTGATTTTTCTACTCTGGCTGATTGGTAGACAAATTATTCCTAGGCATGAGTGATCTGAGGATTATTCTTCCTGTTCCTTATGATTTTTAAAATCATTTTGCAATTTTTCTGTTATATTGTTTATTTTACAGACTATTTCAGCAGTTTTATTAAAATATGTATAGAATTATGTTATGCTAGCTTGCTAGTAAATAATGAAATGATTATTTGTGGTAGTTTTATAATAATCTGAAAGAGTTGCCATACCTTTTAGGATGCCTGAACGCATCCAGGGGCAGATGATATAGTCCTGATATCATATTAATAACATTATTTGCAGAGGTTATGAAAAAATGACATGTATGCATTTCTCATTTCACTAATATTCTTTTAATCTCCCTGTTCTGTCTCTCTCTAGGAAGAACGTGTTGTGAATCACATGGCAGCAAAGATTATTGAAAATGTCTGTACTACCTTTTCTGCTCAAGCCCAGGGCTTTATTACAGGAGAAATTGGACCCGTTTTGTGGTACCTATTCAGACATTCTACTGTTGATTCTCTTAGGATAACAGCAATATCGGTAAGACAGAGCATATTTTGGGGATATATCGGGGTATATTTAAACACCAAGTGTGAAGAAATGTACCTGCATAAATTTAATTGAATAGCTAGGAAACTGAAATCTCAGAGTAATAATAGTTGGTGAAAGCAATGACTTGATTTTCTCCTAAAGCAGAATTTTAAAAACTGGGTCTGGAAAACCTTGGGACTGTCAGGGAATTCCAACAGGACCTTGTTAGGACATTATGGTTTCAAAAACTATCTGGAGATGGTAGTGGAAAACTGGCAGTAGATAGGGTACAGGATTTGGTTTGTTATATTTTTAATGTTCCCTGACTTTTCCTGTTAGTGCCCTCATTCAGATTTTGTGTTAAATGGATATCTCATATGGTTCAGATGAATTTATTTTAACGTTCAGGCATCTGTGGTTTTGCAGTTTTTGTGTTTTGATTGGTTGTTTATTACTTTGCTCACATGGTTATAATGACTTGGTATTCAGAATAATTATGATGCTATGTTAATACGCTTGTATCAATTTAATATTCTGTTGAACAAATATAACCCTCTCTCATATGATTTATTTAAATACCTCTTTGAATTACCAATCTCATATGATTTATTTA